CCCCAAAACCCCCCAAAACCCCAAAACCCCACAAGAGGTAATGTATCTTGCATCATAATTAGTTTTTTTTTTCAATTCATAAATAAAAGAGTTTTAATAGAGAGTATTCTTAATTTTAATTATTGGGAATAAATTACAATTACAGTACATAAAGTTCAAGTTAAAGCTTCGAAAATTAGTCATATATGTCTCGTTTTAGGAATTCAAAACAACAGTTATTCATTCTGAAAGTCACAGAGCAAATGTATATTCTTACAATAGGGCATGACTATGAATTCGCCTTCCCTTATTCCCTTTTTGAATTAGCCTTAGTAGATGATAATGTTCTCCTTGTCATAGTCATGGAACATGCCTTTTCCATCCCATAATGAAGACTTCCAAAAACCTTAATATTCTATTGACTGGTCTCTATAATAGCTAATGCCATAGCCTTCTTTCATATTATCTATCCAATCTCCAGAGTAGTCAATGTCACCATTAGCGTGATAACTTATACCTTTACCAGATCTTTTATTTTTAATGAATGATCCGGTGTATGAAAGTTAACCATGCTGATAATAAAGATCTCCTTGTCCATCTTTAAGACCAGCTTTAAAGTTACCATGATAATTTATTTTACCATTCAAGTATAAAAGAGTACCTACAGGACCATATAATCCATTCTCAAATAATCCCTCATATTAGAGAGATCCAGTCATGTAAAACATCTTTCCCTCTCCATGAGGAAGATCATGATCATTGAGTTGTCCATCATAAATAATGAGAGTTTTAGCTTAATCATTAGAGTTATGTCTTAACTGATATTGATTCTGATGAGAATAAATTAAAATATTGCTAGTCTCAATCATTTCTTGGGGCCAATATATACATCCTTGGTTGGTTGATGTTTTTTCTATCAAATTTGGATGGAATTTTCTGATAAATTGGAAAATAGTTAAGTCATCATATTAATAGTTAGTTTTTTATTCAGTAATAATTTTAGTAAGCATTTCTTCATTTAACTAATTTTAGACTTTGTCGCCGATAATGACCAAAGTTGAGTAAAACTTTTCATTTTTTTCAGACATGAATTTAATGTTAGACTTATTGGCAAGTATTTTATAACTTCTGTTCTCAGGAGTAATCATTTTTATGTTAATTTTATTCTATGTAATGATTTCTTCTCGATAATTTTGAATTTAATTTATTGTACTTTTGTGATTAGATTCGATAGAGCTTTTTCTGTTATTTGTGACCAAACTACTATTAATAATGCTTAAGAATGTAGGTCTATCTTTGGGATTTAAGCAAAGTAGTTTGTTTAAAAATTGATTAAGTTCATTCGAGTATCTCTTATCTAAACTTACTTGCTCTTTTTTCTCTTTAGCTTAATATAGGTCTTTTCCATTATATTTAGTACTACCCTCTATGATATAATAAATTAGAACACCTAATTTCCATGCATCCTCTCAAGATTTTTCTAAGGCTTGTTCGTTTGGTGACTTTATTGTGGACTATGAAAGAGGGGATAAGTTACAGTATTCATTAAATACCTGATATTTATCAATGCTGGTGTTACTTAAAATTGTTTCTTTTACTCTTTTACTTCTTAAATCTATTTTCATTAATCCTTCTTGGTCATGCCAGAATATCCTATCAGGGTGAATAAAGTCAACTGGTTTATTTTGTCTTAGAATAAACAGAATAGCATTCGCCAATAAGAACATTATTTCTATGACCGTTTCCTCTTTCAACTTTTAATTCATTCTATTCTTTTGTTTAATTAATTAAGTTAAACTCTAGAAATCTCTGAAATCTTAGGTTTCTTAGCTTAAGTCCATTGTCTCTTCATCATCGGTATTTTATTATTACTGTGGTATTAAAGTCTTAGTAAAGGCATGGCTCATTTATTTCAAATCACCTAAATCAGATTTGTTTGATTAGTGTTACTTTTATTTAGGCTGGCATTATATTTCTTTGAGAGAGCTTTTATTTGATTCATGAGTTATTTTGTCACTTTGCATTTAACCACCTATTTTCAACCGTAACTCTTTAGATTCTTCAATGTCTTATGGATTATAGAACTAACGTTGTTCCCTTTACTTTTCTAAAGCATGTTTTGAATTTCTCTTAAAAGACTTTGCTGAATTCGCAGATGATCAACTCAAATCCTTCTTCTGCATTAAAACTCCCTACTTATATTGCTTGATTTATATTGAAAGGTAATACTTACATCTATTTAACAAGTACAATTTTATTATTCTAGTTTGTGACAAATTTAGCATCTAATTTTTGTAATGATACAGAATTAATGTGAATACCGATTTGAAGTTTAGTCATATTTCATTGCTGACTTTTAAAAATTTATTACTCTCTGAAATCCTTGTTCATATATATATATATTATTAAATCTCACGCTTACGTTGAATTTTAGTTTAAGGGGTTTTGGGGTTTTGGGGTTTTGGGG